AGAAACAGACACTTGCAGCTTTTTGCATCTATAGGACAATGAGTTAATTGATCACAGTTGACCTTTAGGTGTCTATCACAACCCAGGCAGGTTATTATAGTAGGAACATGGGCCCCAAAGTGTTCAACATGTATTGTGACAACTATTCTTCCTTAGTACTTTTGCTTTAAGGGATAACCATTTTTAAAAGGTATCAACAGTGGAGGGATTTCATATTCCTTCACATTTATCTCTTCTGATGGTCTTCAGTCTTTGCCTAAATCCCCATTTCCTTCTGCTATCATTTCTCGTACATATGCACGTTACGTATGTAATGTACAACACAGTAAAGAATGTTTTGTGCAGGGTCTTCTCTGGGAAATTCAGGCAACCTTCTTAGATTTAAAAACGTATTTATTTCACTGGTATTTTTGAAATATTCTCAGAATAGGACATGATCAACTGTTTTCTTTTCTTGAGTGGAGACACCACAGCATTGCCTTGGGTTTTCTCCTCCGTAGAGAAGACTCCTTGGTTCTAGGTGGGTGTCGCTGCTTTGCTCTGGGACTGGCTTCTGTGTTTTCTCTCTCACTGGTGTTGAGCTGCTTGAGAGGCACAAACATCATCAAGACTCCGTGTCTGTTTGACTCTGTGTTTGCTGATCTAACAACTTGAATTTGAAGCTCTCATGTGATTTAGAAATTTGGGGTGGGGCTGTTACTTCTACATTGTTCTTCATTCTCCAGGGTTTCACACATGTGAGGCAAACTCTACCAACTGGCCCACAGCTTCCTTTATCTTATGGTTTGGAGCCACCAGGAGCACATCCTTCTGGCCTCTGTTGTGGAACTTTCTTTAACCTGAATCCTCTAAAAAATATCGTGTGTTAAAGTCAAATTCTCTGCTTATTTGCCCAGTTGTGTGCCTCTTTCAGGCCTGTGGTTTCTCGTGGGTAGCTTCTGCTGTTTTTGTCGTTGTTTGTTTATTGTTTTGTATCCTGCCCCCTCTCTCCCTCTGTGTGATGCAATCTTCTTCCCTGATGGCTTCAGTCTTCTTGGTGAGGATTTCCAGCAGCACTGCCCGGGTTTCCTGGTTTCTCTCTTGACACCCTCTTCTGCTTAAGATGCTTGTGGGCTTCTGAGATGGAGAATTTCTTTGCAGCCCACGGATGAGACGGTTACTTTTGCTCCACTACCCACACCATCTAAGATACCAATTATTTACATGGTGGGCCTCCCTCATTCCCACCTTGCTGGGACTATCACTCTATCTCAGCCCTTCACCCTCTGCATTCTGCTGGCTTGACTTGTCCATAGCCTTTCCTTCCATGTACTTCCTTTAAACACATTTGGTTTTAAGTCTTTCATTTTTTGCTTCTAAAGTTCTGTGTGGTTCTCTCTCTCTCTCTCTCTCTCTCTCTCTCTCTCTCTCTCTCTCTCGACAGTTTGTTTGAGTCACTTCTTTCTTTCTGCCGTGTGAGTCACAAGACTCAAGCTCCGGCCATCAGGCTTGGCAGCTGTCTCCCTTACCCTCCATGTGTGTCCTGTTTCTCACACCAGGAAGTCCCCTCTTGCTTCCTTAGCCTTTGTAGGTCTTGAGGAATTGTCAACTAACTGCCTCCTGTCTGTTGTTTACAGCTCTCTATGAGACGATTTCTATGTGTTTTGGACAATATCTGTGCGATTCTACACCTGTCTGGCAATGTTCATTTCTATGAGAAGCTTTAAGTTCTGACGTTGCGGGGCTGGCCTGTTTTCCAGCATTCAGTCCCATACATAGGGGGTTGGTTTGATCCTCTGTTGGTCTTAGCCTCCCTCCGCTGAAAGTACTTCACAGCAGCCATCTCTCCGGCCCCAGGTTTTTATTTTTTAAATCTCAAATTAACTTCACTACAACAAATTACTTTTATAGCAGTGTTCTCAACCTGTGGGTCACGACCCCTTTGAGTATCAAAGGACCTTTCATAGGGATCAGCTAAGAGCATCAGAAAACATGGGCACTTACATTATGATCTGTAGCAGTAGCAAAATTGCAGCTATGAACTAGCAACGAGAATAATCTTATGGGTGGGGCCACCACAGTATGGGGAACTGTATTAAAGAGAGCAGCCTTAGGAAGCTAGAGAACCACCGCTCTGTGGGGTAAGTCAGTGTTTTATTATTTTACAAAGGAAGGAATTGGAAGAATAAGAGTTTTGATTGCACAGCCTGGGTGGTGTGTAGGGAGCTCAAACTGGGTCACAAGGCTCTGAGGACTGGACAAGTGGCCTCCACCCCTGTTCTGACTGTGTGTGTGTCACTGCAGGGGGCACATCAGGTGCATGAACTGCACGGATGCAGATGCTGTCTCAGCCCACGTTCGCATACTTTTGGTCTTTACATTGGCTGCGATACGTTACCTCCTCATACGGAACCGGGTCGAGGGATTTGTGTAGGAGGGAGCAGCTTCAGTGGGCTCATCTGTAACGAGGCACAGGTGAGTATCCCTGCTCCTGACTAACAGTCTTTCTTTCCCACTGCTGCGGGGGCTCACTGTGTTAGACTCTTGGGTTCTTGCCCAAGGCACCAAGCTTCAGAAGGGTAGGGAAGAGTGCAGCTTCAGGGCCCGCAGTCAGAACTGTAACTGGGTTTGCTGTACTCAGTAATGAGGGCCACTAAGCCATATTCTTCCTGGTGTAGCCCTATCCAGCAGGTCTCCTGGGCTCAAGGCTGGACCCTTAGCTGGGTAGCCAGGAGCCAAGGTGGGCAGAGTGTCTGGACTGCCTGAAGTGTGTTCAGTGCTGTGCTTTGTGCACAGCCTCTGGAAGGAGATAACTGTGTGTGTGTGTGTGTGTGTGTGTGTGTGAGAGAGAGAGAGAGAGAGAGAGAGAGACAGAGACAGAGACAGAGAGACAGAGAGACAGAGACGACAGAAACAGAGACAGAGAGAGATGATAAAAGTACACTTGTATATATGTGCATGTGTGTGTGTCTGCCTGTAATGATAAAGTGTGAGTGGATGTGTTGTGTACGCACGTGCGTGCCTGCATGCAAAACAATAAAAGTGCATATGTGTTTCTATGGAAGTCAGAAGCAACCTCAGCATTGTTGCACGGATGCCGTTCACTTTGTTTGGGGCAGGAGCACTCCACGGCCCAGAGTGTACCATGGAGAGTAACTGGCTGACCAGCGAGCTCCAGAAGTCTTCCTCTTCCATCCTCCCAGCCCTGGGGTTACAAGTACACGCCAGCACACTCGGTTCTGGGGATCAGAACTCAGATCCTCATGCTCACACAAGCATTTTACCCCCAAAACCCCTCCCAGCCCAGAAGTGCTGTTGTTCTAAGCATGGGAAAGTAGATCTCCACCCAGGTGGAGCCCAGATGCCCACTGTGCGAACTGTTGTGAACTAGGGGTGGCACAGCCCAGCTTAGACCTGGCCCTGCAGCCTCTGCTGAGTGAGTAGCCCTGGAGAATGTCCACACCTCAGTTTAACCCTTTGTCTCCCTTGCTGGTCTTCGTGGTTGCTCACCTGTGTTGACCAAGCGCCATTAGAAAGGAAAACGATGCTTATATTCAAAATATTTCTACAATTTTGGTGGCTCTATCTGACTAATTTCCTCATACAACTACAACTGATATAGAAGCCTTGATTAATTTTTCTAAGTTGGAATGCCAGGCATACAATGCTTATTATGAAATACTTAGAAAAACGCATTTACATATCAAAAGGCTACATAGTGGAAAGCATTATGAGGTGTATGGTAATGTGTTTACTACTAAATATTAAACACCAATTCTATTATGTTTGTCTGCTCTGAAGTGCCCCAAACATTATGAGTGTTTTGTATGGAGCATAATTTGATCTGTTATATGACAATTACTTCTGTGGAATTTACAAAGATCCATGCTTAGCACTGTCCCCGTGACATTCTGATGTCACCACATGTGAAGGCCACTGCTGTCGCTTTTCTGTAAAAATCTGTGTCTTAAAATTAATCAAGGTTTTCAAGTATTTGTCTCTGGGCTCCTACAATAACATTTGGTCTGATTTTAGTTAGGTCTTTTTTCTGTTTTAATTTCTGTTACTTTGACATAACCGAACATGACCATGGATGATGGTAAAACCATACAGGTAGGGCACATGGCCCTGCAAGCCAGTGGCTTTCTTGTTCCGTCATCCACCTTACTGTGTTCATGAAACAACCAAATTCATAAAAGCCCTTGTTTAATTTTGCTCATTATTTTATAATCATGGAAAACACACATGAGTTTGTTTCTACCAAGTCCTCTTCTTTCCCATGGAGTCCCTCTCCTGTGCTTAAGTCCTCAAGCCCAGCATCAGTAGTGAGGGGATACACAGCCAACTTGAGGCACCTAGAAACTCCCTAAATCCCTAAGAAACTTTGACACAGGTGAGCAGAGGATTCATGTGTAGTATGAAGGAGCGGTGGGCTGTGTCCAGCTGTCCGGCTAGATTATACCCTAAATATTTACATAGACACTCTAGTCATTGAAATACTGCCTGACCCATTACTTCCAGTCCATTATTGGCTAACTCTCACATCTTGATTAACCCATCTCCATTAGTGTGTATTGCCACTTGACTGTGACATACCGGCATGGGTCTAACCAGCATCTGTCTTGGGCAGGAGAGCCATGGCATCTGCCACACTTCCCATCTTCCCAGCATTCTGTTCTGCCTACTCTGCACACTTAAGGGTTGCTCTATCAAAAGGCCAAGGCAGTCTCTTTATTCAAACAATGAAAGCAACACACAAATACAGAAGGAACTCCTACACCATTCATGGTTGTGACACAGCAAAGATTTCACTGTTGACCTGCATGCCGCAGACTTGGGGTGAAAGCCTGCAGGTTGCAGACTTGGGGTGAAAGCCTGCAGGCTGCAGACTTGGGGTGACAACCTGCAGGCTGCAGACTTGGGGTAAAAGCCTGCAGGCCTCAGACTTGGGGTGATAGGAAAATGGAAGGGACAGGGCTAAGGAAAGGTACAGCCTTCGCGAAGAAGTCAGTGTATCAAAGGACATTTGAAAATTTTAATATTGTTCTAGGCCATCAACATTTCACTAACAACAAAATAGGATGTAGATTGGTGTTTATGTGTGGTGCCGAGTGCTGAGCTATTGTCAAACTGAGGGGTTTGGTGGAGTTTTGAATATTACTAGGCTACAAAAAGGATCTCTTTGGCTTTTGTTCTTTGAGAAACTCACCCTGGCAAATGCATCTCAGGGCATCTAGGCATGATCATTGGCTTAGCAAAGGAGGCACTGTGGGCTTCCTTAGGGAGCTGATAACCCTCTATCCAGCCTGCCAGCACCAAGCAGACACGTCAGAGAGGAAGCCCTGGACACAGGGTATGCCAGCCCCACACTGGGTAACCCCATAAGAGACCTCACGCGAGAGCTGCTTGGGTGCTCAGTCTCCAGAACTGACGGTCACACAGCCGTGTTGTTCTTTACCTGGCTGTAGAGAGGCTGTTGGCCCTGCAGAGAGAGGGGAGGTGAATGGAATTAGAAGCAGACAGGAATGAGGAGCTTCCGCAGAAAGCCACATCCATGTGAGGAAAGTGTGCTGCTGCAGAGACCGAGACCCAGCGGAGCTGTCAGCGGGGCTGGGAGGAAAGTGTTGGGTGGTGCCAGACGGGTGCCCTTGATACGCGGTGGCAGGCAGCTTGGCAGTCCTGTGGCTCTTAGAAGAATAGAAGACGATGAGAGTCAGACTAAGAATTTTCCCCTTCAGTGTGTTGAAGGTGCCATTGGCATGTCCCAGGTGTCTTTGGGAAAGAGAGAAAAGGGGGGCATTAACCAAGTAGTGGCATACTCTACAAAGGATGGGACAATTGGGACATGTTGAGCCCCCAGATGGCATGGCCCCTAGCCTACTCAAATAGCAGAATTTTAAATTATGAAATATTCACATGTAAAGTACCAATTCAGGTGGCTGTAGATACAGCAGGGTCCTGAGGAAAAATACGAGATTCAACCTCATACTTCCTGTAGAAATCCGGAAAGAGTTTGAATGGTGCCTAAAGATGCCTGGGAAAATGTGGAGGTCTTCTGCGGATCAAGGGCATGGCTCAGAAACCCTATCACATTCCTGGATCCTTGACATCTTGTCCATCAGCAGCCCACTGGAAGCTGGAGACAAGCCAGCTTGGAGCCAGTGGGTTTGGCTCTAGGCAAATGGTACAGATTCCAATAGACTTCGTAATATATCTGCAGAGTTGTGTATACAGTCTCACTGCCAACAGCACTGCCTCTGGGACAAAAAGAGACAGAGAGAGGAAAAATGGGAAGAGGGTTTTGGTTCCAAAATGTCATTCTTCAAAGCATCAAATAGAAAATATGACTATGTGACCATGAAAGGACAGATCTAGAACCCAGCCAAGAGCCTGAGGCGAAAGCCTGTGGCTCAGACGTTAGGCAGGAGGCTGAACCCAAATCCAGAAGCAGACTCATGTGCTCGGCTTGGTCTCAACATCGTTGTGAACTTGGGACAATGGCCAAGCTGCTGCTCCTATTAGAATTGATAAGAATAAGAAAGTGCTTAGCTCTCAATGGAATGTTTCTATGAACCCATCTTCTCAAGGCTCAGGAGACATCTTGGAATAGCAGGAAGAACGAGTCAGAGCGAGGCTGTGAACTGGTGCCTTCTAGACACAGCTTGTCTACTGCACTCATGAGCCCACAGCATCTGGGTTACCTGTACGTTATCTATACAAGATCAAGCCAGTCGGATATTCCAGACTGGACCACTGGTGGATTGTTCTTACTCCGGGGGATCGCTCCATATCCATGTGCACTAAATGAACTCAGAGGGAGGTACAGGAAGTGAGGGAAATGGAGCTGAAAGGGGGATACAATGGGAACCAGAGGGAGTGGATAGGAGGAAATTGGGGGTTGATATGGTCAGAATCATGAAGATCACAAATAATAAATTGAAAAAAATTAATAAATTCCAGTTGAGATACAGATGGAAATATAAATCAATATATCCACTATGGGACCACTATAGATATTTCTAAAAACCAAAAAAAAAAAATATGGTCAAGAAGCTATGGGTAGGTAGAGCATAGGTCTTAGGGGAGAACCCATTATTATTATTGTATTATGCTAAATGGACAGAGTATTAAGTCAACTCCTAACAACTTATTGTTAGACTCACATGTGAGTGCATCTCTCAACCCCACACCATAGAGGCCTCTTTCTGTAAAATTTGGAATTATCACAGAGACCTACAACTGGCCAAGGTATGGAGAAAAAGAGACTATAGAATTCTCAGCCCTAAAAGGGGCATGCATATCACACTGCTCCCCTCGGGGCTCAAGGCTCATTATGGAAGAGGAGGTGGGAAGAGTGTAAGAGCCAGAGGTGGTGCGCCACCACGAGGAGCCAGTGTTTTCCACATATGATAGAGCAGCAGCACATAAGGACTCATAGTGGTCATAGCAGTGTGCAAAGATCTGGGGAAGCTCAAGCCAGACAAAATCCCAACACAGAGCAGGAGGTGGGCAGGATGTCCCGCTCCTTGCTGAGGAGCTCTTGCCAGTGAATAGCTGCTAAGGGCATAGTCCATTTTCTCTGAGAGTGTGGCTTCCGGTAGGTGGGCCACACTCTAGCAGAAGGCCACACATCCTTTAAAAAATGACACAAAGTTGGTGTGTAAAGAAAGAGAGTGGACCTGAGAGGAGTTGGGGAAGGGAGTACTTGTGATCAGAACACACTGTATGACAGTTTTAATAAAAAGTTAACTCAATATTTTTTTAAAAGTCAAATATAGAACTGACATCTGACCCATCCCCTCAACTCATGGGGCTGTGTCTGAAGGAGGTGAAATCTACTCAGCAGAGAGAAACTTGTGTGTCTGTGATCATCAGAGGTTCTATTCACAATACCTGGTTTAATTGTGTGTGTGTGGTCACCATAGGCACTGTTCACAATAACTGAGGTAAAAGAATCACCATGGCTTCCAAACAACAGGTAAATGGTCAGAGAAAAACTATGTGTCTGTTATGGACTTTTATTCAGTCATAAAAAAGAATGAAATTGTATCATCTGAAATGAAAGGGCCATGAGTGGAGACTCTTGTGTAAAAGACCACATTTGCTCTCAGCTGGGGATCTCGGATCAAGTAGGTTTTAGATTTACACACACAACATTGAAGTAGAAGTGAGGCCAACTGGGGACTGAAAGGGACATGTTGGGAAGAGGAGAGGGAGGAAAGGGAGACCGGGGATGTGCGGGCCAAACGACCTACAATTGTTAGAACCCATCCCTGCATGTGTTCCGTCCCTCTTCCTGCTGCTGTAGACAGAGCTCCGAGGTACACTTGGATGGCCACAGTACCATCCCTGGGAATTATTTCTTGCTGGTGTGGACTGTGTGGCCAGCAGGACCTGACTGGCTTGCTAGTGAGGCCGGGAGGTTGGTGGGCCCTGACTCTCATGATAAAGGCCTGCTTAGTATTTCATCCCATTCAATACAGTTCAGCAACCTTTAGAAATGTTTTGAGATCTGAAATCCACATGGCCTCTGGTGGCAGAGTGTGTGGACAGTATCACGTAGTCAGAGCATGCATTATGAACTATATCCCTGAAACGAGAGGGTTATGTGCATCCTTTATCTCTCTTCTGTAGAGGACTGTCAGGCAGTAAATATTTGGTTATACCACTTTTTTTGTTTTTGAAGAAATATCCTATCATTAAATCTTGGATTTATCACATTTCTAGAACAGTCTCAGGGTCAGCCAAAGTATCTCAGTTCCCCTTATTCAGATGTCCATGGACCTCTCAGCTTGGCAGAACACTGGGCAAGCTCCTCCCTTACTGGAACCCTCACCTCCATCTCCTGTGGGTATCAGCCTTAGATTATAAGCTTTTATTATTGCCTTGCCCTTCATCTTCCTCATTGAGATGAACATCTTTTTTTTTTTTAAGTCTCCTGCCAGTTTTATAGATGAGGGACACTTGCTTCACAGGACGTCAAGAGCTCCCTTGAGAACAGAGTGGCTCTGACTCCCAGTTTCTGGAAGGAGTCAAATCTTGGTTTTGACTGGCTCCAGACAGCCAGAATTTGTACCTGTAACTTCTAGACACAGGTACCGGTTCAAATAGTGTTTCACTTGCCTGTGCCCTGGAGGCTGCAGAAGGTTTCTTGGGAGTCCATGGGATATCAGATTTTTTTTTTTAACTTTCTAGGCTCACAGTTGAATAGGTCAGCTGATGTGTGCCGAGCCATTAACCAAGCATCTGATGCCACCCGCTCTGTGAGCTTCCCCAGGGGAGGTGGCGACGAACATCTGTTCACACCAAACAGGCCACCAACAGACCAAAGGAAGAATTCTATCCTAGTCATTTGGTGAATGAATGAGACTCTTTGTAGAGCACTGGTGACCCCAAGACAGCTGCTCCCCCACCCCAGAAAATCCCACTCCAGCCACATGACAGTCTCCCAGAAGCTGTATAGATGGCATCCTCCTTCAGCTAATCCCTCACCCTTTAAGCATTCCATCCCCTTCCATGGCTGACGAGGGGCACAGAAGGGAGTGGCTAGAAACTCAAGTGAAGCAACAGCCATCTTCATCTTCTCCAGGGCCATTGGTCGATGTTTGCTTGCTCACAACTGTTCTAGTCGGCATAGTGACGGCTGTGATGCTGAGGACGACAGCTTCCCTAACTTTCCAGGCATGGTGTCCCACTGTCCCTTTGGCTGGTGTGGAGGAATGCCAGACACCTCTGGAAAAGGTCTCGTTACCAGGTGAGCAAGGGTCCGAGAGTAGATCCCTGTATCAATATCAAGAGTGTCTCCATTTAACTATTGTTTATTTAATAAATATAAAATACGACTTGATTCCTTCAAAGTCAGTTTACAGCCACATCTCAGACACAGAGCTATTGTACAGAGCTGAGTTCCCTGTTGCTACAGGTGGAAGTGAGACATGAACTCTCCGGAAGGTGGGGGGAGCAAGTTGTCAGCTAGTGCATGAAACTTGGCTCTGCGCCAGGCAATCTGACGATCTTTGTTTTCAAATTTGATGCTCAGAACAGGTCCCTGTCTTGAGCAGGACTGTTATTCTTGTTTGATTGATAGAAATAGCAAACCCTATTGTAGTTAAACATCTCCGGGAAGGCACACATCCCTCTGACTAGGAGCAGTGAGAGAACCCAGGAGCCAAGAAAACTGGAATTCCGAGTCAGTGCTTTCTTTTGAGGCAGCCTTGTTTCCTGCATAGTTTACGGGCGCAGGCAGAGTGGAATAGGACTCAGCCATCAGAGCAGTAAGACATGCTGTGACTGAGGCATGAATAGTGTGCTGGGAGAGGAAGCCAAACGAGGGTAACCTGACCGATGACCTCGTGGGAATACATGCTGGTTACGTTCCTGGCTGCTATGACAAAATACCTGCAATTGACTTGAAGGGACCAGAGTTTAATTTGGCCCAAGGCCTTAGGGAATAGAACCCATTGTGTCAGGAAAGCAGTGGACAGGTCAGTCCAGGCTGGCCAGCGTCTGTGGTCACAGCTTCTTCCATTCTGCCTGAGCAGGTAGAGAAGAGGGCTATAACCCTTGAAGGTTCCCTACTAGTGGCCTGTGTCCGTCAGCTGGGCATCATGCATGCTCCAAAGTTCCCACAGATCCCTGAAGCAGCACCACTGGCTCAAAACATGATTCTGTGGAGGACACTGCACTCTTAAACCGCGAGAACATGAAATATCAAGACAGACAATAGAAGGAGCCAGAGAGAAATCTAAGAGTTGCCGGGGCTGAGGTGGGTCAGGCAGTAATCACTAACAGAGATGGGGATTCCTTTTGGGGGACAAATATTTGGTGCCTCATAGAGGCATGTGGGACTCCATGGTAAAGTTCTAAATGCCATTCAACTGTACACTTTCTTCTCTTTCAACCTAATATTTTCATTGATTATTTGGGAATTCCACGCAATGTACCCCAATCACACTGACTTCCCTTTCCTCCCAGGTCCACCTTCCCACCTCTGTGCCCCCAGAAAAGAAAGTATTCATACATCAAGTCCAGTTTGTGGTGCTCATATACTCACTGTGGTGTGGTCAGACTCCCAGTGATGACCTAAAGATGACCGAGTCCTTCCCCTCCCACATGCTCCAGAAGCCAGCAGCTGTGAAGAGCTACACTTCAGCATCTTTACCACAGTTTCCAATGGCTTCTGTCTGGACTCTTTCTTTTTGGGTGGGGAGGTCGGGTTATCACAGAACCCTTCAATGTCCCTCATTCCCAACTACGAGTCTGCAGTCATTCACACCACTGCAAAAGAAGCTACCTTGCCCATAGTCGCCATTGGTAGCAGAAACCGTGACATCATCATGATCCATGTTACTGCTGGAGGCCATGTTGATGTCCACGGTTCCTGCTGCTGCCGGAGACCATGTTGGTGACTGGTCCACGTTGCCTCCTGAGACCATGCTGGTGTTCATGATCCGTATTACCTCTGTCGACCATGATGATGTCTGTGGTTTGTGCCACCATTCACGGTCCTTGCTGCCACCAGGTACCAAGCTGATGTCACTGTTATGTGATATGAATTTTAGCTCACTTGAAAAGTAATATGCTCTGACATTGCAGGAGAGGTGGCCTCTGTCATTCTGTCATCTGAGTATCTAAGGGCAGAGCCATTGCTCCTCTCCTCTAATGCTGTTCTGGGGATCTTCAGCACTGCCAGGCGAGACCAATGTCTGTCCTATCTGGGGTATCTAGGTCAGTATCTTGCTGATGAAAGCAAGGTTTTCAGGACAAGGACCACATGGGGTAAGGACAAGGTGGGCAGTACCATCCCCATGCTGTGCAGAGATGAGGAAGGGTTCAGACTCTGGTATGGACCCAAAGAGCCCCTCTCTCTGATGCACGGTGCTTCCCAAGCTCCTCATTTTCCTCGTCTGTGGTGGGTTTGCAGTCCTCATGGGGATACTTGGGAGACCTGAGGGAAATAGTTCAGCATTTAGTTCTGTGCCTGCTGCATGGGCAGAGCGGGGCTGAGGTGGCCCAGGGAAGGACCGAGTCCTCTGCCATCTCAGAGAAGTTGAGTCAGCAGCATGTGGATAAAGAATGTCCTTCATGGACCATCCCCAGTGTCCTACTGTGGCCTAGCTCAGTTCTGGAATAGGAATAATGTGTGCCTAGAACGGGTCTGGCTTTGTTCAGTGGACACAACAAGAGCCAGATCCCCAGATCCCAGAAATGAAGGCATTGATACCTGTTGCAAACGAGGGCTGATTATTTGTCCTGGCAGTCTGGCAAGCTTAGCCCCGAAATAATCACACAGAAACTATATTATTTAAATCACTGCTTGCCCCATTATTTCTAGCCTCTTATGGTTAATTCTTACATCTTAATTTAACCCATTTATATTCATCTGTGTATCGCCACGTGGCACTGGCTTACTGGGTAAAATTCCCAGCGTGTGTCTCTGTCGGATCCATGGTGTCTCTCTGACTCTGCTTTCTTTCTCCCTGAATTCAGTTCTGTCTTCTCTGTTTACATAAGTTCTGCCCTGTGAGCAGGCCCAATGAAAGCAACACAGAGAGAAGGACCTCCTACACCAGGAGTCCAAGTCCCCAGGCTTTAGGGTTCACAGACTCATGAGTTCATCTTAGGCTTGTAACTACTGTGGTCTGACAATGCTCTGCACAGAGGACACAAGTGTCTGAAAAGCATTCATGACCTGGAGAACAAAGCACCGACTGTTGCCGCTATCTGGTCTTGCTCATAGAGGCTCAAAGCATCCCTCAGGCTCATGGTTCTCACAGGGCTTTGGCACCATGGAGGCAGGAGGGCTATTGCTTTAGGCCTCATGGTCCTTCTTCTATTCCTTGAGCTTGTTCTCTATAGCCCATTCATAGAAAAGGAAGAAAGAAAAACTTTTGCCATGCCTCTTGAGTGTGATCACCAAGGAGCAAATTTACCAAGAATCAGCTGACCCACGGTGCTGTTCAAGGACAGCTGACTGCAGTAAGCTCCATGGTGACAGCATGAAGTCCCAAGAAAAAGATACTCTTCTGCTGCTGGGTCTACCACGCAGGACAGGACTAACTCCCAGGTGCTGTCTGTCACACTCCGAGTTCTGTCCTCCACCTGTCTGTGGAGGCAGAGCACCTCAGGAAAGTGAGCTGTCACGATAGACCTGACACACGTCAAAGGACACAAACTTATGCTGGTACTCACACCAGCACCAAGGGAATGAGGTGGTTCCCAGAGCAGTGTATCATGGGAAGAATTTTGTTCCCAGAGCAGTGTATCATGGGAACACTTTAGTTCTTGGTGCAGTGACTCATGGGAGCATTGTTTCTCTGGGCAGTGTATGGTTGAAATGATGTGGTTCTCTGAGACGTGTTCTATGGGAGTGCTGTGGTTGGCAGAGCAATGCATCTTGGGAAAGCTGTGGTTCTGAGAGCAGTGCACCATGGGGGATGCTGTGATTCTCTGGGCTGTGCTCCATGGGAACAAGGAGAGGACTGGCCCACACTCACTGTTGCATTATGGCCGTGGTTGCCGTTGTGGCTGGAGGCAGGTCTGAGTTTCCGGAAGAGCTGTCACCTTCGCTATAGATCCATTTATATGACAGCATTCAGTTTCTTAAAATAAACCCAGGGGTTGCCATTTCCATTAATAACCCTGTTTGTAAATGGATTCCTTCTCTAAGGTAGTACAAAACTCCATTCATCATGCCTGACTTGGTACACTGAATGAAGGGTTAGTCACCTCCATGGTAGGTCCTTGAGTTCAAGAGGTCCTCAGAACAGTTGACAGTGGTGTCAAGACACGTTGACCTGATGAAGAGCAAAGCTAGTCAGAAGGAACTGTGGGAAAGTGCTGGAATACCACTGATGGCAGAGCTTCAGATGCCAGCAGTAATACATGCTGGAAAGCCTCGTCTCCATGTTGGAAGTTTGGGATACCATGCCTGCTTGAATCTGAGCCATGGCACTGAATTCTCTTCAATTTTAGGGTTCCCCACCTCACTGCAGGCTTGACAGTCTTGGTGGGAAGTCTCTGTGTCTTCTTTGTGTTCATTGGAATGGCTCGACTACCAGAGAAAAGGCCTGCCCTGTCTTCATCAACACTAGCCTGATCCAAGCTGTAAACTCCCCTGCAAAACGCATCATCCCTTCCATGCTCCATTTCCAGTGAGACTGGATGACTGACAGAAATCATCCCACACTTAAGATGAGAGAAATATCACACAAGACTGGTTTGAACACTAGGCCAGGCATCATCTCTCCAGATTCCAAACTGCAGAGCCAATGGTCCCCTTTGCTGGTGATGGCTAAGATCCGTGCTGGTGCACCTGTCAGAACTGGCTACTGTAACAAAACCCACCAAACTCAGTAGAAAGATACATAGTTTCTTTCATTTTTAAATCCAGGCAACCCTGGAGCTAATGTCTACCACTTGGGTCTCTCTTTTGGCAGGTGTCTTTTATGCCATGTTCAACAGAGGGTCTCAGGGGGACTGGCGCGACTCTGAGACCTGGCATTATTTTTGATTCAACAGACGTAGGTGGGGGGCAAGTCAGTCACACACATGCAGGGTGCATGCTACAGGGGGCTCAGAGATGAGTCGGGATTCTGGGGACAGGAGCCAGATTCACTTCAATTTCAGAAACAGTGCACATGGAGGATCGCCTTTTATCGAGGAACATGTCCTTCTTTCAAAAACATAACCAGGAAACAGTGACCTTTCCGGTAGTTTCCTGAGCTGCCGTTTTAGGAGCGCATAATAAATGCCACCAGGCACTAGGGATGGAAAACACAAGATTCAACAAATTAAACTCGGAGCACACACCAGAGACACCCGGAATGGACCTGCGTACACAGTCACAGCTATTGTGTTATTTTTTTCTCCATCAAGAGGCTGACATTCAGAATATTCAAGAAATATGACTGCCCTTTCAGACTTCGAATTTGGATTTATTTCCCCAGGATACTGTATTTATTTAGTCTTGTATGAATGTCATACATCAGAACCAAGTTGCCACGAGAATAAAATCTTACTTGACTTTTTGCTGTCTGCATTTAGCATGAATTCCATTAAGACAATACGACACAGGACTGGATCTGAAGCACAGGAGCTGCTGGGATAATTTTTACCTGCAGAACCTTTTCTAGTGTGACTTTCTGTCACTGTCTTCCTGAGCAGAGGAGAGCTGAGCTGTCAATAGCAAGAAATTCAATTAGTTTTAGAAACTGAGCAAAGAGAATAGGGTTGTATGTCATGCACATATATGCACATATATATACATATATATGTGCATATATGTGTAACATAGATGTTTCTGTTTTTATATAGTGGGCATACACAGAGAGATGGGGGAGAGGGCAGTGAGAAAAGAGGAAAAGGGAGAAAGAGAGCAAGGAGGGAGTGGGAGAAAAAGAGGGAGATGGAAAATGCTTGCATTTAGACAACTTGGGGACCTTAGCTAGAAAGCTAGTCTTCCACGCTAAAGTTTCTTTTTCTCCTCTTCATAAGGGGTCTCCATAGGTTTTAATTAATTTTCCTGATGGTTTATTTAGAGTCAGATTTAACCATCACACAAGGTTGTTCACAAATAACCAAGAGTGGCTGTTGTCACTTCTAATGTGTGTGTGTGTGTGTGTGTGTGTGTGTGTGTGTGTGTGTGTGTGTATGAATGCACAATTCATGCTCATGCTCATATGCAGGTCAGGGCTTGATGTTGGCCTCTTCTATTGCTCTCTACCCTTTTAATGTATGTATGTATGTATGTATGTAGGTAGGTAGGTAGGTAGGTATGTACTATGTATTTAATATCTTGAAGCAGAGTCTCTGGTTGGACCAGAATCTTGCCTCAATAACTTGGCTCCAAAAGATTGGCTGACTAGCAAACCACAGGGTTGTTCGGCCTCCACCTTCCCAGTTCATGTGTTACTGTCATGGCTACGGTTCTCTGTGGTGCTGGGACTCAAAGTCTGCCACTTTCAAATTCTCTCTTGTTATGTATGCTCCTACACTGCCTCTCTTGGGGTCCTTGAGGTTAGCCTCATGAGACCTCTAGCATACTTAGAAACTGGAGCAACGTGCGCACCATTCGACAGTTAGAGATTTCAGGGCAGAGGATGTGCAGTAAAGCAGCATTCTGCTTAACCTTGCTGGGAACAGGTGTGAGGAATGATCAACTGAATAGAGAAGGTGTTTGTCCTGAGAATCCAGTTTCTTACCCTCAATGAGCACAAAACTGGGATTTGTGTGTGTGTTTTGTTTTTGATTTGTTTTTTATGTGTAAGAGTAAGTACATGAGTGTGTGCATATGTGCGTGCATGCATGTGTGCATGTGTATTTCAGTCCATGGACCTGAAACATTGAAAGTGTGCAGTATAAAGTTGACACACTGAAAAAAAAATCAGTGTCACAGCATCGACGCTGTGAGCGAAACTTCCTTGAGTTTCCGGCCTTTCTTTTCTAAGTTTTTTAACTGATCACCTCTTAGTTTCGCTGACGATGGCTCCACTTAGAGATGTGCAGAAGTCACCAGCCTGTAGGCAAGCACTTGTGGAGTCCAGCAAGGATGACTCCAGGCCTTGGGAGCAGCTCGAGTGACCATTCTGACCCTCATCAGATGTGGGGTCCCTGTGTCATCCCCCTGGAAGGAGAGTCGGAGAGCTTGGACCCAAGGTCACAAAGACCAAGCAAGCTTGGAGCGAAGGCCATGTCTAAACAGGAGCCCCATCCTGTCCCCTCACATATCCCAAGCAACCTGTTGACCGTTGCTCCTTGAAAGACCGTCTCCCCTTTCCATCACCCTGTCAGCCTTCTCTTCCACCTAGGTGGGTGTGGCCACCTTCCATGCTGGCTCTTTACCTCCATGCTTGCTTGTAGTCCATACTGCTGTTCTCTTCCGGATGTGACCAGGAGTGAGCTTACCTTGCCTGTCCTCACCTCAGGCCCTCAGACATGTGGCATTGTCCATAGGGCTGGGCCCAAACTGTTCAGCCACCCCCTATGCGTCTCCTGAACCTGCCCACACCTCGTTTTCTCAGATTGGGCTCAGCAGCATCCATTGTCCCAGAGCTGAGGCTGCATCAGGCTCTGTAGGATCCCTGGTCTCTCTCTCCATTTCTTTTTCTCCTTCTCTCTCTCTCCCATCTCTGTTTCTCCAGTATCTGTCCTCTCCTCTCCTCTCCTCTCCTCTCCTCTCCTCTCCTCTCCTCTCCTCTCTCCTTCTATCCATATCACTTCTCTTCTTTTCTCTCTTATCTTTCTCTCTTGTCTCTCCCTCTCCCATCTCTCTCTCCTCTCTCTTTCCTCTCCCTCTCTCCTTCTCTCCTTCTCTCTTCTATAATTCTTCTTTCTCTCCTCTCCCCCTCTCTCTTTGCTCTGTTTCCTTGTCTCCCACCACTCTCCTTCTCTCTGTCTCTCCAATTTCTCTCTCCTTTCTCTCTCTCTCTCTCATCTATTTCTCTCTCTCTCTCTCTCTCTCTCTCTCTCTGTGTGTGTGTGTGTGTGTGTGTGTGTGTGTGCGCGCGCGCACGCGCCTCAGTCTGGTTAGCTTCCAGCCTTCCTACACTCTGCCCTCCACCTAGAATGTTATTCTTGCCCTCCATTCCTGGCTCTCTCCTATTCTTGTTGCTAGATATTGCCTTCCTGAGAAGCCTCACCCCAGGAGTGCATGACAACCGAGTGCTCCCTAACCTCTTATATTTGCTCATCTATACATCAGACTGTAAAAGTTTGGAAATTATATACATCAGACTGACTCTACCCCATAGTCTGTTTTGTAGAGATTTAATTGACCATGTTCATTCCTTTCGTGCTGCCTGTGGCTGTTTCTGCAGATGTTGAGGAGCTATGATGAGACCCATGGCCACAAACCCTAAAATACCCACCATCTAGCTACTAGTGCAGCATGTTTGCTGACCCAGCCCCAAACAGGGCAGATTTCATGCTCATAGCATCAGGACCTAGGACAGTGCCTGTCTGACATGGCTGGGTATGTAAAATACTCTTAACACAAGCATGAAGAACCAAGTTCTGATCTCCTCTGTCCAGGGTTGGGGGCAGAGACACGAGGATTTCAAAGACTCCCTGGCCCACCAGACTAGCTGAACCTTTAACCTGAGGTTCAGTGAAGGAACCAGACTACACAAATGCTACATCCACGGCTGTCTCGCCAGTGTAGCAGAAATGCTGACTGAATGGGCAAATATTGCCGGAAGGATCAGGATCCGCGCTTCTCGGAGTTGAGTCCTGGGCTGTCCCTTGGCAACCAGTTGTGGTGTAATGCTACCTGAGTTGCCATTTGTACTGACTCGACCTGACTGTACTTGGTGCTATATGTCTGTCTTTTCCCTTGTCTGTGTGTTCTTTGTGATACTTGCATATTGCTAACAGATCAGACTATTCCAGGCAGTTGCGGATACAAACAGGACTGCTGAGGACATTTTTGAGTTTTGCGCCCCTATTCATTAAAGTCTTTAAAGAATTAGCCAGTTCTGGAAATAGGGAGGTCATCATTAAAATAATTCCTTAATGATGTGGAGCAAAAGGAGTTGCTCTTATCAGGAGAAACCTTCGAAGCCTTCTGCAGGAAAACAGCTGCAGCAACACTAGATGTTTGCCTGAGAATTACGTGCAGGAGGCCTATGCAGCCTTCATTATGGCCAGAATAAACCTAGGCTAATTACAGCATCTGACCCTGAGAGTCGGGGAGGGAAGAAAGTTGAGATTTATGGTATGAAACCAGATTCAGACAAGTTTGAGATCATGTCTAAAATTTCCTAGCAGAAAGTTTTCCCAGGAAGATAGTGGCCTTCTCCTCTCACACCCCAAGATATTCTGAGCACAAGGTCACTTAGCCCTGCCAGCCGCCTGATACAGACTGGGCGAAAGTCTTTGTGCCCAAGTCAAAGCATTTTCAAAGATTCTTTTTGTAAACAGTTTTATGCTTTTTTTTATGATCTGATGATGTATACCTTTGCCAAGTTCTTTGTTTGTAATAATATAAAAACCTCACACTGAAAAAGTAAAACACAGCAGCATTTTCAAAAATACATTGAGAATGGTCTGTCTGTCAATTCCTCCGCTGTATCCTGAAATCTTCCGTCCTTCGCCCTGATTTCCTCACGGTCTGAATGGCTCCCCTGAGCCGGTCCGTAGCACACAAACACACATACAAACATACATACAAACATACATGTGTACACAAACCAACATACACAAGTGCTTGCACACACATACATGCATACACAAACTGACATGCACAAGTACTACATGCATGCATGCGCGCGCACACACACACACACACACACACACGACATTTGCAGAATGAATAGACACCTGTGAACTCTGAGAATACAGGAGAAAATCACAACCTGAAATACAGGTCGTGTGAACACCTGATCTTCCTCAAGGGAAGTTTGGTGGGTGAGCACCATTTCAGCCGCTTCTGCTGTGGGCTCTTTATCTACCTGCTGCCGCACACTGACATTCAAGGCACTCCACGTGTAGTGCTGACAGATTTGTCTGCTGTCCCCATCTGGTTGTCTCAGTGATCTGACCTGGTAGGCCTGTTGTCATATCTGTTTTACAGAGAAACAAGCTAAGGCGGAGATAATTCAAGTGACTTGACCAGGATTCGGCAACTAAGAAGTGGTCCTTGGGGAGCCCTCCACTTTTAACACTGTGCTTTCTGATGCATGGTTGGTTCCTCTTTGAGAGCTGTGTCTTTATCTGGTTCTGCTTTGACCAGAAGCATAGATTCTTTTGGGCAATCGGCTAGGTGGCAAGGTAAATGCTTACTTAGTAGGACGTCGTCCTTATATACTGAAACTTGGCTTCCCAGGAACTCCGCTGCTACTGCAGGCATAAGACACGGCAGATCCAAAGCCACGGTGACCATGCTGCTTCAGTGAGCAGGCAGCGGTTCCAGGAGGCAGCAGTGAGGCTGGGATCCTTTAGGAGGTGAGAACGCTGTGGACAAGTTCCACACAGGAGTCTGTCGCTGTGAGTGGCTTGCACTGTTGAGGATGAGCCATCTCCATACTGGACCATAACAACACAGGTATCGCACTCAGGACAGAGTCTGGTCATCAGTAGAATAAACACTGAGTCCCCAGTGGCAGCAGGAAGGACTGGAGCTGAGGTGTGGCTTTGACCTTGAAGCTATTGACTTCCAGTACTTGGGATTGGACTCCTATTCACTTCCCTTCTATCCCCAACAGCATAAATGGCTCCTATTTTATTTGAGTTTGTTTTATTTTTGCTAAGTGAGATAGTTTTTCCTAAAACAGATCCAATGAAATAAAAGAGAAATTGAAACTGTAATAAAACTCCATGAGACATTTATGTTCAAGCTTTGGGAAACTGGTAGGAGAAGCTGGTCTTCACAAACTTACATGACCAAATACCTGACGAGAAGCAGGGGTTTATTCTAGCTGATGGTTTGAGGGGAACATCCGTCATGGTGGGGCAGCCTGGCAGCAGGAGGCCATTACCCCGTATCTCAGGGATCAGGATCAAGAGCAAAGGGGATGCTCCTCACAGAGATTTCTCCTTTCCTTGTTTGACTCAGTCTGGACTGCAGTCCACGGAAGGGCGCTGTCCACACCCACAGAGTCTGTCTGCTCTCGGTTAGTCCTTCACACCCCCACAGACACAACTGAAGCCAAACTTCCATGGCACCCCCATTTATTTCTAAACCCAGTGAGGCTGATGATCAAAACTGGCCATTACGAGGAGCCATGTTTGACTGATGGAAGCAACTGCCCATCCACAGGCAGAGCCAGATGGGTCAGAGGATAGTGTGAAGGCAAACTGCACCAGTGTGTGAACACACATGGCTCTCCCACACAGCACTGGTGTGTGTGAACACACATGGCTCTCCCACAGAGCACCAATGTGTGTGAACACATGTGGCTCTCCCACACAGCACCGGTGTGTGAACACACATGGCTCTCCCACACAGCACCGGTGTGTGTGAA